GAAGGAGGCGAGGGAGAAGATCAAGATCGCGATAACGAAGTCCAAAAATAGTTCCTTGTTGGATGTCCAATCAAGGTCTACCTAAAAAATGTCGGGTTAGATCGTGGGTGCTATGCCCGATGTAACCTCTGCCTATAACCTTTCTCTTTGTCCGAAGGAAAAAAAAAAAAAAAAAAAAAAGAAGGAGGATGGAGGGGGATAAACAGAGAGAAACTCAAGAAAAGGTGGAAGGGTTGAAAAAGCCAAGAGATGAGCAAGGAAAAATAAGTGGTAGGATGGAGACTCCAGGGTGAGTCGTCCTACCACGCGCATGTATGGATTTAGGCATATTAATTTTTTTTACTACCCGTACATGTATGAATAGTTCGTCAGCACTTTTACACTGTTGAATCATTGTCTCGGGGGAGTCCTAGTAGATTCTATGTGTTGATTCACTGATTCTAAGTTTCGTTTTCAGATTGCATGATATTAAAATATGTGAATGGGTGGGTTTCAAAACACAATATAATCTCTGATGGAATGACTTAATTTAGGTCTTCTAGTAAGTTAATCTGAAGTGTGATCTTAATTTGTTGCTTATTCTCATCATCCGATTTTTTTCGCACGGATTGTTAGGTCTTGTGAATTCATAACGATGGACTTTAGTTGATGTCGTTCTTACATATCACAAATAAATTAGAGTTCGATTTCCTAATTACATATCCTAAATAAATTCATAATTTCTAAGAACGTCGTTCCAAAATCCACAGGTCTACCTGCTAAAATATTAAATTTTAATCTCCTATAACTTTTTCCTTAATTTTTTTGTTCAAAGTGTTGGAATTCGAATCTCAAATTTCTAAAAAAATCTTCTACAATTTTCATTTTCGATTTTTACGTCATAATTTAACCTCTTATTTTTTAATTTGAAACAACGTGTATATAAGTTTATGCTCGTTGTAGTGGGTTGTTTTGGCGGTGATGGTTGGAGATAACGCGCTCTGCGGTGAAGGGGCTAGCCTGTAGGGCGGAAATAGGGTACAACAGCGGTGGAGATGGTGGCTCAACCACAGTAAGTCTTACCGACGTAGGATTGAGAATGAATTTTGTTGGGCGATTGCAACCAGTGCCTGAAGGAGCTGGATGATGGAAACCACAACTATGGTGAGGATTGGTGGCTTGTTTGTTATCTATTGGCGTCCGTTGGTCCCAGTGGTCTGCGAATGAACGAGGCCAGAATGACGTTGGTTGGTGTCAGGGCTTGATAGCGCTGCCCTGTAACTCGAGCTGTACGGGGGCATGAAACCTGGTAGAGAGATCTGGGGAGTTGTCGAGGATGGAAGGCGCTGTACTGTCTGTTGGTGGGCAGGTACTTAGTCAACCCTGACCGGAGTCAGGGCGGGTTGCTCTGCCCTGTAGCCTAGCAGGGGGGGGGGTTCTGGGTGGGTCGCGCCACCCTGTAACCTAGCAGTTGGGGGTATGAGGCCTGGTAAATATTGAGCATTGGGTTTTCAGGCGGAGGCGGATAAGATTGAGTTGCTGAAATGCACCGGGGCAGGTGTTTTTTTGTTTGAAAACCTCGGATAATCTTAGTTGGTTTCTGTTTTCTTCACAAGTAAGTTGACTGTTTGGTGGTCTTAAGAATGTTTTTGGACTTTGGAAACTCCTAGCAACTCGTTTTAGGTGGCTTCGATGTTGTTATACTCAGTGATCTGCGACTGTTCGATGCCAGAACGACGCTGGTCGGTGCTGGTGCGTTGCCCTATAACCTGCTGATGCAGGAGCATGAGGCCTAGTAGAGAGATCTGGGAATGCTTTGGGGTGGGCATTCCACGTGACAACCAAGGGTTGTTGCTGGGACGACGCTGGTCGGAGTTGGGGTGAGTTGTGTTGCCCTGTAACCTAGCAGGATGTGGGGGTGTGAGGCCTGAAAGAGCTCGGCAGAGAGTAAGACAGTGTTGGAAAACTTTGGAAGGGTTTGTTAGAGATTTCGAGGGTTTTGGAGCATTTGTAGGACCTTTGCGGTCTATTCCCATGCCTCCTGAATTATTGCAAGTGTTATCAAACGTTTTAAAAAAAGAGATCCAGGTGAGTGGGAGAAGGAGATGGTGGGATATCACGCGTCCTACTAGTGAGGGGGCTAGCTGGTAGGATGGGAATAGGGTATAGCAGCAACGAAGATGGTGACTCTGCTGCAGTAAGTCTTGCCGGAGTGGGGTACAGGGGATTGATTGGTGGTGTTTGAGTCCTTTTCTGAATTGTGCATATCTTTTTGTTTCAAAGAAAGGGTGGGTGGGGTCTTCAAAAAAGGATGGTGGGATATCAAGCATCCTACTAGTGAGGGGCTAGCTGGTAGGATGGAAATAGGGTACAACAGCAGCGAAGATTGTGACTCTCTTGCAGTAAGTCTTGTCGGAGTGAGGTAAAGAGGATTGAGGAGGGGTTTCTGAGTCGTTTTCTGAATTTTTGCCTATTTTTGAAGTTTGTCGTAGTAATTTCCTAAGGAGCCCCAATTTCTCTTAGCCAAAGTCGGGTAATGGCCCCGATATCTCAACTTTCAAAATTCTAGGTATATTTCCATGTGGGACGATGGACCTGGTTCCCAGCACGTGCTGCTCCCCACGAATAGATTGGAGTTTTGTTCCCATTAAACCAAAAAAAAAAAAAAAAAAAAAAAGTTCGTAAAGAATGTTTACCTGATATTGAACCAGTAGTAGGAGACTCCGCACTCATATCAATAAATCGAACAACTCTCTCTCTCTCTCTCTCTCTCTCTCTCTCTCTCTCTCTCTCTCTCTCTTTTTTTTTGTCCCCTCTCTCTCTCTCTCTCTCT